TAGCATTATATAAAAGCATATACTGCTAATATGCACTTCTAAAAATATACTCTATAGGTGAAATTATAGTTTCTAGATGATCTCTTGCCTTTTTCTAACAAAAACATAGGTGAATGTTGTAATGGTGAAAGAAAAATTTTCTGTTGTGGCTGTGATGTAATAATATCATATTATTCTGTTTTTTTTACTCCAGTATAACTTGTTTTAATACCTGCTGCTAAATCTCTTGGTATTGAGATATGGAATAAAAGTCTTGCTGTATTGTTTCCAAGACTATTATATTTCTTTGTAAGTTGCCCTATGTTTTCTGCAGTGTGAGATAAAAAGTCTTTTTTCTTTCAGTTAGATGCCATTGATTTTTATCGTTTAGAATTAATGCATTTATCTTGTTTTTTTTGGCTTGAGTTGAACATGGGTGGTGACATAGTGGCCTTTTATGACGGAGTTACAGCTTGAGTAGATAAAGAGGAACTGATGTCATCTACCTGGACTCATGCAAAGGGTTTGACACTGTCCTGTACAATATGCTGGCTTCCTAACTGAAGAAAAATGGATTTGATGGACAGACCACTAGCTGGATAAGGAATTGGCTGGATGGTTGCACTGAGGGAATTGTGGTCAATGGCTCAATGTCCAAGTGAAGACTGGTGACAAGTAATGTTCCTCAGGGATTGGTGCTGGGACCGATGCTATTTAATGTCTTTGTAGGCAATGCGGACAGTGGAGGAACTGGGGAGGGGCTTTTTGTAAGGGCACATAGTGACAGGATGAGGGGAAATGGTTTTAAACTGGAAGAGGGCAGACTAAGATTAGATACTAGGAAGAAATTCTTTACTACAAGGGGGGTGAGACACTGGAACGTGTTGCCCAGCAAGGTTCTGGATGCCCCTGTGCCGAAGATGTTCAAGATCATTCTGGACAGGGCTTTGGGCAACCTGATCTAGTGGAAGTGTCCCTGCCTATAGCAGCTTTATAAATTATCTTAAAGGTCCCTTCCAACCCAAGCCATTCTGCTATTCTGTGACAATAGATTGAGTACTAGTGTGAGCAGGCTGCCTGTTGCAGTGATGGCATGTCCTAAGAGGGACCAGTCAACTCTTTTAATCAAATCCATGAGGGTGTTTGAAGGAAAACTCAGTAGTTCAAATCAAGACAACACAGAATCAATCCACAAAGCAGTGAAATATCACTGTACTAAAATATATGAATTCTTGGCTAGCAGTATTTGCAATAGTTATGACCTAGTAGACCTGCATGTGAGAAAGGCTGAAATAAGTCTTTACACTGAAAACAAAGATCGCCCTCTCCTAGCGGTGCCTGGCAAAATGCACCCTTGTGGCAGCAGTAAGACATGGTCATACTAAACATAACAACTGGAAGTGTTCTGGTCCAGTCCTTCTCATACTTGTCATAGCATGCTCAGTCCCTCTGCTTGAATGAATCAACACCACCTCTAATGATGACAGATAGGTTTGTGTTTGAATATCAGAAGGAAGGGAGACATGCGTAAAGGTATCACAGAAGGCTCCCTTAGCCAATATTTTCTGAAGGACATGCCCATGCTTTTCAACATGAAACATTAAATTCTGCATTTATTATGTGACAATAATATGTTTCAGAAGCAATGAGATGCCACTGTTCTACTGGTGAAATGAATTAGGAAGTAGCAGGATGATTCTAGGGAAGAATTATTTATATCAGAGCTTCCATTCGTAATACTGTGATGTAAGAATTTGAGTATGCAGTTCCATACAACCAATTAAATATTTCAAAGATAGACTATATCTATAGCATCTTACTAAAAAGAAAGGGAGAAAGAAACATCCGTGTCATATGCTGGTTTGAACATCTAAGGTTTTGGAAGAGATTTCTAGAGAATCTTACCAGAATAGCCAAATAAACCCAAAAAACAGTAATGAGAGAGGCTGCTAGCGCAAGAAGGATTACAGCTGTGTGCTCTGATGATTTACTAAAGCTGGGAGGGTGGGGAAGTGAAAAGAAGACTCTAGTTCACAGGCTGCTGTGGAGCAAGCTAGAGGTGTGTCTCAGACGCCACCGTCCCCATGCTGCAGGTTTGCACTTAAAGGGAATTTTCTTTGCCTTAAGATGTAAGTGGGCACTGTATTTCAGTACACCATAAAAATAATAATTGCTGCTCATGGGAGTATTTGATAGAGACTGAAGCAAAATGTGTCAGGTATATAATACTTAATAGCTGCACTCAGCTTCCCTGGCATGTTTGAAAACGTTTATGTGCATTTACTTGTTTGGGCAATAGAATGAAAGAGTTGGTTAGTAATGTTACGCATGATTCACTACCATGAATAATAAGCAGAAGTAGCATCTGCATTAAGAAACATAATGCTAATTCACATCTCTAGAGGGCAGAAGGCTTAAGAGCATTCTGTGTCTGTATAAGTAGATATGTGCACATCATTCCTCAATCTGTTGTGATCTAGCAGCTGAAAGAAAAAATATCTAAAGGAACTGTTTGTGTCATCACAGAAACAGTACTGTAATGGAGACATAGGGAACTGATAACATTTTGCTATATGATCTAAAACCAGTTCTGTGCATTCAGTGTATGTTTCCCTTGTTTATTCATCCGTAAAGTAAGACAATTAATCGTGCTTTATTTTAACTTAACTGTGTTGGAACTGAACATTGCATCAGTGCCAAACTGCTGAGCAGGTGGATGCGGGTAGAGTGGGTTATTTAGCATTGCTGTGATTGTTCCAGTTCCTGTTTAAAGAAGCCAATAAAATATCATATCTGAGTCTGAAAAGGCACAGTTAACTCTGGAGTGAAAATAGAAAATGGGAAATGGAAGGAATGTAGAGAAGCAAGTTTAAAGCATCCCAGAGGGTGACTGAAGGCCATGACTGAGTAGACTGGGAATTTGCTTGGAGCTCGGACTCCAGCCTGCTATACAATTGGGGGTTTCTGTCTTGTTCGAGTTGTGCCAGTTCAGCGCTCCATCTTCAGTAATGGAAGTTAAGCTCACAATTCATGAGTTTTGGTGGTACTATTTGCGCTGTGTGCTGCATAGAAGCTGGATGAAAAACAATATACTACAAAGTTTCTTCTCTACCCAGCAGGTGAAGATTGGAGCTGTGCTGAATTTTCTAACAGGCAGTGTTTAACTTTACCTCAGAATACTTTCTGCAACATCTCTCTTATGAGGAATATGTTGTCTGATATAAAAGAAATTCTTGTTGGTGTGGTCTGAAGGTGATCTGCAGGCTGACGGTGGCATGCTTATTAGTGTAAGGACAGTGGCTGCTAATAGATGCAAAATGTTCAGTGTGCTAATTGCCATTTATGGTATGAAACTTATTTCAGTGTCTCTTCTGCTTCTGCTCACTGTTACCTCTGGCTTCAGTCAGGTATTTCCTGTGGGACTGGAATGTTACGCATGCTTTTGCTGGCAGAGTGAACACTGCTTGCCTGATGCTTCTAAACAGCAGCCTTGTCTTAGGGAAATCACTGCTCAGCAGCTAGAGTTGTGAATGTGGCCAACGGTGCAACAGCAGAGCACCTCTTTCTGCACTTGGCTGGCGATGATAAGGCTGCATGTATGAGGAATACATGCAATATTAGTTGTGTTTGTGCTGGGGACGTTTTCAAGCAAAGAAGTGCTCTCATCATAACTGCTCTGCTGAACTGATTTTCAGTTTGATTGAAAGGAACAATGGGAGGTCTGAAGGGAAAGAGGTGTTTTTCCCATGTTCTGTTTAGCAGGTAGTAATGATGTTCTGTAATCTGTCAGCTGTTTCCTCACAGGTCTCTGGTTTACTTTTTTACAGCCGAAGCAATAGAACAGATCTGGCTGTACTAAAGTACCTTTCATGCCTTGGTAGAAAGTGCGTGGCCTTTTAATATAACGAGTTCAAAAGAAAAATTATGATGAGCCAACATAATAAATAGCTTTTAAATTCTTTTTGTTTGTTTCTTGTGAAGCTTGAGTTGATGAGTTGGAAGGTTCTCTGAGAGCATGAGGAGTGAAATATTTTGAAAGGTTGTGGTTTTATAGACTAAGAGGTCACATCAAACATTTATTTTTTTGTAAGATGTAAGTTATAGTTCTTCAAATATTACTTTCATTTTGAATTGCTGCAGCAGTTTTTTTCTTTCTTTTTCTTTTTCTTTTTTTTTTTTTTCCTTCCTACTCCTATCTTAGGTACAATTTTAAGGCACTTAATCTAGGTTTAATGCTTTTTTCCCCCCTGGATTTACTGAAATATGTTATCGGTTTTATGCTCTCCGAGGATTTTTGCTGTTGAATGATAACAGCAATCGAAGTCGTCTCAAGCAGGTAGTGTTTTTTCCACAGCCTTGCAGCAAAGCTATTTTTAACTTTAAAAATAATCCAAAGCTCACTCAAGCTCTGCAGCCACCTCAACATAATACATAATTTAATTTCAATTCAATATTTTGAACATTATTACGTTATGGCTGTTCTTTTCTAGAATATATTTTCTCTACAGGTGTGAATATAGGTTGTTTTGTATAAAGTAGCAGTTGTAATGTGAAGCAGTGATGCGCTAGATCAAGGCAGATTAAATAAAACCTATATTCAGATGTGTTGATAATCCTCAAATAATTCATTTAAATTTATGGATGTCTTCTTATTCTCTACTTCAGATGATTCCCAAATTTTATATTTCATATCACTCTAAAAAACTATGTGAGAAATATTAGAAGGGTTTATCTAAGTTACAGTAGATTACTGGGCAAGATCTGTAATAAAGATCTCATTAGTAGCATTAACGTGCTCAGAAGAACTGAAAGAGACATTTTTATTAGCTATAGCTAAGAAAAGTAATTTTCATGACTCTTGGAAAACTGTTATATATGTTGTTGTGCAGTATCTGGAATATTTGCTGACTTTCAAAGCTGCAGTGAGAAACCAAGTAAAAGGAGCGCATTGATAATACCTGCATCTAAAATCACAATCCATACATCTGATTTAAAACAAGCAGGAAACACCCAGTACATACCGTAGGCCATAAAGGACTGTCCCATCTGGATGGAGCCGAATCATTCGGTTCTTCACCGTCACTCCATGGACAAAAGACTTTTTGTCATTTTGGAAATACGTGTCAGGCACCCAGAGCTGGTCAGCTACTCTGTTGTCCAGAGTTAGGTTTAGAGGTATTCCAGAATAAGAGAGCCTTTTATCCCTCCAGGACTGCTGGAAGTACATGGTAAGGGTGTAGTCCTAGAGAAATAATAAGAAGGGTTTTTTCTATTTTGCATGTATGCTGCTTAACAACATAACTTTCTGTTTGCAACTGAATATCAGTAATGCAGCAGGAAGTTTAAGGATCATGAAATTGCAGGGGTTGGAAGGGATCTCAAGAGATCATGAAGTCCAAACCCCCCTGCTTAAACAGATACCTTACAATAGGTTGCACAGGTAGGCATCCAGATGAGTCTTGAATATCTCGATGGAAGGAAATTCCACAACCTCTCTGGGCAACCTGTTCCAATGCTCTGTCATGTTTACTGTAATAAAGTTCTACCACACATTTTTATGGAACATCCAATGTTCAAGTTTTAGGACAAGGAGCAACAGCCTATAATTACGCAGCACTGAGAAGTGCCTGGCCTCATTCATTTGCCTCACACTTCCCTTCAGATAATTATAAATGTTAATCAGATTTCACCTCTGTCTTCTTTCCCTCAGGCTGAATAGACTTATGTTACTCAGTCTTTCCTCATAAGGGAGGTGCTCCAGGCCCTTTATTGTCATTGTGGCCCTTCACTGGACTCCTTCTAGGAGATCCCTGCCTTTTTTGAACTGGGGAGCCCAGAACTGGACGCGGTATGTTTTCGTTATCCGTTACAATGAGCCTTAGCCTGTTTGTGTTAGTGTCTAATTCACACTGTTTGCCAGTGGCAGTGATTTGCCCTGCACATCCCTGACCGTGGGCTTTCAAAGCCTCTTGTGCCAGAGGGTCTCCGTTGTACAGGTCACAAGATCTCCAGCCTACAGACTGCATTCACAGTCTCTTGCAAGATTTCCTTTTACATGAAAACAGTAGAATTTAGCCAATCTCAGTCAAATAGCATTGCATATTATTGAGAATACGTTAGTGTATTCAATGTCTCCATTCTGAAATATTCTACGTGCAATCCAGAAACATCAACACTCCTTAAACCTTCTGAGAACGAGCAAATAGAACTGCAGAGTGTATAATGAATAACTAGTCATTCTGCAATGGCTGCAGTTGCCAGTTGTAAAGATCTTCAAGAGCTGGATAAATTTCACTTCAGCCCAGGCACTGAGGGGCTTTCTGTCCTTGGCCCTTCAGGCCATTGCCCCGTAGGAAATGAGCATCTTCTGCAGACTATTGTGCTATATTTTAGGGCAAAAGCAATTTATGTAGTCCTTCAGCTTTCCAATTGGTTTAAAAATAAATTGTTTTAAAAAGTTTCTCGTCTTACTCCCTCATTGTCTTTCTCTTTATGAATTTAGTGGTTTTTAAAGGATGGCTTTTCCACTTGGAAAAATTGACTGTGCTCTTTATATCTGATGGAGTTCTTACATATTGCTGTTCCAGAAATTTTTTAGACTACCAGTTTTATCCTCCTTATCTTCCTTCTCCCCTGTCCCCCTTTTTAATTTGCAAGTCATTTTTTGTCACATACTTAGCATTAAAAGTGAAGTGACATTATAGATACAGAAAAGATTGGTTGGGTAAGATTTTCTTTTATGTAAGGGAAAGCCTCACCTCTGTCAACCTGACCTAGCCTGGACTGTAATTTTTGAAGAAATAGAGAGGATGAAAGCTGTCTGATGTGAATTCTTCTCCTCATCTTTATTGGCTTCTAAAGAACATGTGAAAATCAAAGCACTATTGTTACCTTTCAAAAAGCCTTTCTGCCTGAAATACTGCATCTCATGGAGGTATGAACTACGTAGGTCTATCAGGGTTTGCCTCAGATTAATTTAAGCTCTGAAGGAGTGTCTGGCTGAACTGTGACTGTGCTTGGCCCAATGTAAAGAAACTTGACACTGAAAGACTTTGGTCCACTCTTGCCTATGCAGGCACCTTCCTGTAGAAGTTCCCTTCTGCTTCTGTTACATAAACAGAGAGCAGATGGGAGCTGTATGAAGGGGTAAAAAAAATCAACATTCTTGTACAGTTTTCACATGTTGTCTGCGTTCTATCCTATACTGTTTAAATTTTTACATAGAAAAAGTATCATAAATAGTGAATGGAAGTTCAGTTCTTAAAGCTCAGCTCTTTGCTTTGTATCCTCTGTCTTCTGTGTAATTCAGCAAAGCCAACTACATGCAATTTTTATTTTTCCTTTATATTTTCTACAGATCTTAAAGCTGCTTTTGTATAACTGTCATGTCATCAGGGGAAAAAGGGAAAGAAGCTAACAATTGAGAGTTTTGTGTGATGGTTCTCAAAGCTCAATCAGAGAGAAAAATAGCCAAGATAGGCTACAAGATATCTGAAGGATGTGATCAGACGTTAAAAAAAAATAATAATCTGTCTCTTAGCTGCAGCTAGCAGAATGAAATAAGTTACTATACTTAGTATCTTGGTCTGTCTCAATTTTTATTTCATCTAGTTGTGCTTTATACAGAATACTGCTGTTGGTGGCACTAGAGTAGAGATGGTGAACCTACGATCTAAAGTTGTGCTGTACTGTGCTGAAATATGTGGCACATCAACAAGTATTAAAGATGAGAGAAAACTTGACCTTCATCATAAAAGTATCTCCAGATTTCTTACATCACAGAGTTGTATTTTCTTCCTATTTCCCTGAAATCTGGGAGTTCTTCATTTGGTATTTTAATGAAGAAAATGAGGAGTTGCATGTTGTGATTTTTGGGTTTGTCCCTGTCATTGTAAGTTTTCATTTTAAAAAGCGAAGTTAAAGGTTATTTCAGTGAAAAATTGTATCCGAAGTGTAATAATCTAAATTACATAATTGATGGGGTTTTTTTTAATTGTTTGCTATGCTTGTAGTTGTTCTTTGTTTTTAGAATACAGCCTTATTTTTCTCCTATTTCATCAGAGGAGAATGAAGTGCCAGCAGGCCATGTACCTAGCTTCATCTTGGGATGTGTTCTAGAATGATTTTTTTCTACATTTTGTAATTGTACATGTGAGGTGAGATTTTAATGACTAATCATCTTCTACACAGTAAAATTTGCTGGAGGTTTTGTGGCTTCAAGCTTTGAGGTGTATGAATGGTAGCTAAATTTTCATATTTATAGTGGCGGTTGGCTGCAGAATTTTTTTTTGAGATTATGACAACATCTCAATAAACAAGTTTGTCTTGTTTTTACTACTGATTTCATTTTTTAAAATGTAAATATTATTAGACTTCAAGTGACCTGCTTGCTAGGCTAATTTCTGTAACATGATAGAAACATGAGAGATTTTTCATTATCCTGGTTTCTGTGATGCATTTTAAGGTGTAGGAGTTAAAAGGAATACTGACATGCCAGTCTCAGCTAAGTGAGAGACTGTGAAAATGTGAATAAGAGAAACTAATGTATTTTCCTCAAAATGCCAAATTGCTGCTTAATCTGAGTTTAATCAACCTCATAAATAATCACTGGCACCAAACTTCACTTAGGTAATATAAAATTCTTATAGGAGAACAGATGACTGTTGCCTTCTGTAGCTGAAGTTAGAAAGTGGTTTGTAGTTTCAGTAAATAATAGACTGGAGAGGTCTCATACGAAACTATTTCTTTTTATTTATTTATTTATTTTTGTTTTGTTATGTATTTGAATAATTTTGTAATGCAATGTGTATAGGTGAAATAAGTGCAATAATGGAATTTTTCTTTCATGATAAGCTTCTGCATCTCTTTGAAACCAGTAGAGGTGCATTAAAATGCAGAAGTACTTTCCACTGTGTGGTTTACCAGTTCAGCACAACAGAAGATGTGAAATACATTGCTATATTATAATCAAACTTTCTGGGAGGCACACTGGTATTGCCCTGTTTATCTGATGATTTATGGACTACATATATAATGGAATAATATATAAGTGGAATATAAGAACAGTAAAAATATCTGGAGTCTTTGAAAATATAGCAGACGTGCCTGTTTTAAGAGCATAATAAAAGGGATCTTTTAATTTGCCACATTCAGCAATGTGACCTACAAGACCTTCTATTTTCTCTCTTTCCAAAATCATCCTAATCTAAGTTCTGCTATTATTTCACATATTTAAGTAAGAAGCTAAAAATTAACATCTGGAATGCAATTCTTAGCCAAAAAAAAAATAAATAAATAAAAAAAAAAAATTTGCAATTATGTAACCATTGTAGATAATTCAATATCAATTGTTAGAACTCCAGATGAGTCTGAGAGCAGCAAAGCAGAAAACACATCAATGTTATACTTTTAATAGTTATCAGTGTGCATTAATAGTGATGGGATATATACTGATCTTAAATTTAAATGAAATCATTAGGAATCACCCAATAACCAAATGAGTTGTAGCACCACTGAAAATAAGATGCAATTCAAATACAGTATAGCTTAATCAAGAGAAACATAACTGAAACTAAAATTTAAAATTAAATCTGGAGTGACAATCAGAATACTGACTGAAATAACGCAATAAATGTAGAATACCATATGTGTAAGTCCTGCAGGAATTCCAACGTGATTAATTGGAGAAGGTTGTTGTCTGGGCTTATTGGATACAGAGAAAAAGGGAAAGGTAGAGTTTCAAGACTATGGTGAAGTGCTGTACTTGCAGCTTGGAAAAGGCATGCTCTTTTATATGTTGTAAGGATGCTAATGCCTTAGAAGAAAATGTTTGCGCTTGTTCAGTAAAGCTCTCCTCTGATTCATCTTGAAGAACCTACAGAAGATTCATGCCCTCACCTGCAAAAGATCTATTTTAAGACAAAGCAATATAAGTGGTGAATTTTTTTTTTTTCAGTTTTGTGTAATTTCTGATCTATACATGGTGATCAATTCCGGATATTGCACAACAATTAGGGGAAAATATTCTTCCTCCAAATTATGGAGGAAGAAAGTAGAAATTCTACTACTTCTGTTCTCTAGAAACTCCAGTTTAGCTGTATACTTTAGTAAGTCAGCTGGCCAGTGAGTTATGGATGTGCACTCTAATGATTGACTGCATTTGCTTTTCTTTCTAAGGACACGATTTAGTGTTCCTTCTTCATTTGTTTTCAAGTGCACACTGATGCAACATGTGTTATCTGG